CTGTGGTAGACTACTCGCTGCCTTTATTCCCAGTTATGGAGAGAGAAGGTACCCGAGAAGAAACCTGCAAGAGACGACCCCCATGCTATAGAGAATCAAGCACAATGTATTTGGTCAACCTTAGTCACTACAGGTTCGCTAATGCCCCCTAATCGCTCGACTTCTGATTTAATAGAAGTGTGGCCGATTCCTATCCTACCCACACCCCCCAATATTCGATAATAAATAAATTTATCAACAAAGGCCTCTTAACTGCGTGTTAAGCAGAACACCCAAAAATGTTCTTTGATCACTAAGACTACAAGTTATTAGTCTGTAGACATTTCATTTATACACTCCAGAAAAAAAGATGATATAGAAGTGCGTAGGACAAATTTGCTTTAGTCAGCAGTGACAAAGTAAATGTCTGCACCGTCATATCAACTGTGCTCTTTGTTTCTTGACCCCTATCTCCACCTAATACTTACATCATAATCTTTACTATTAACTGCTCTATCTAAATCATGCATCATGAAAAAGATTTACTTAGCCCACGCGAAAACCAGAAAATGATCTGGGAATGATTCATATGTGAACTAAAATAAAGGCGACTTTGGCAGGAAATAGGTTTACTACTCAAACCTCCAGAGCAACAAGCTTCAATATAGAAAAAGGAAAAAATAGACATTCCAAATGACTTTGAAGAGTGCTTATGATAGCAAGGATTTTCCGATTGTTGTTAAAAATCAAGGGATACGCAATGTATGTTGCAGAAGATTAATCAGAATTTTTGTAAATAAAAATTGTTTTGACATACCAATTACAATTGACTCAAACAGGACAAAAATGAAGAAGACAAAAGCACCAAGCGAGAGGCTATTAATTCAACAAATTTCACTATTACGATTAAAGCCCTCAAATTCTAGATATTTAAAGATTATTAAAACGTCGACAAGAGTGTCAATGTTTAAATGTGGGCTGTGCGATAGACTTACCTCCACGTAGTGCACCCTGGGCAACGTATACTCATACGGCAAAAAAGTCTATTAACCGGCAGTTGACTTCAGACTCCAAATTACCATCACCCCACTGTATGTCAAATTCGACTACTTCAACCGTACTCACCTCACCTTTTTTCCAACTTTGTGTCTGTCTCTTTTACATCTTTGAAACACTCTTCTGTCCCCCCCCCCATCTCGACCTTTTTCACGTTGACGTTCCTTCCCATCTGTGAAGCGTGAAGTCAACTAAAGGGTTAATGATAACTTTCAAAACGCCTGCCATTTGATATAAATAAATATTTAAATGGGGATGAGCAGCTTAAATGGAAAGGAATGGGTCGTACAAAGAAAGGATTTAACTGGAATAGAAAACTTGGTGAAGCCAATAAACGCTCACGGAGAAGTCATGGCATTCACTCGAACGCTCATATATGAGTGAGGGAAAATAATAAAATCACCAAAAAAGGAAAAGAACTCAAGTATATCACTAATATAACTTTCAAATGGTGAATAATTCCTCATATATTCAAGTGAAACAGAGAAGTAATGAAGAAGAGGTAAATTGGCACGAATTGTGATTGCCAAAACTGATAAAAACAGTGATAACGTTACAAAGAATTAATCTTTTACAATGTCAAAATAAAAAACAGGAAAGCAGCAGACAAACAAAGAAACAAAGGAGTCGAATGGAACTAGAGAATAAAGCCAAAATATTAAGAATTAGAACCTTTACTAAACAATGTTTTGGTGAACCAAGTCATCACCCAATAACCACAATAAGCAAATTGCTCTAAAAATACCTCCAATCAGTGGTAATAATAGTAATAACTAAAAGAACCATATGGACTTCCTTAAATCAAGTGGTTTGGGTTTAACATTTGTTTCGAATAAACCGTTCAACAAGTCTCTTCCAAAATAGGCTGGGACAAATTATACTAAAATGGAGCAATCAACTACCAAAAGATTTCAACTTAATCTTGGTTAAATAGTACTGCAGTGACTAAATCATTGAAAAGCTTTTTCAAACTGAGGGAGAGGCAAAATGAATCATCTACCTTGCAAAGGTAAATTTGAATAATTTCATTAAATGGCAAAAAACCATAAGTATCCGTTAAAGGCCAGCAAAATTATTGCAAAAGAACAAAAATTATATTTTAATAAAAACTTCAGAAAATCGTAGACGAGGAAATATATTTTATCGTGTAACCTATCATCCAGCAAATTAAGCCTAATTAAAAGGTCAAGCGCGGAATTTGTAAGACGCGCTTGAAGTCTCTAAAGGTCAATTATGGTGCAATTAGGATGTTTATATGCATTAACTTTTCAGATTTATTTATTTGGTTAATTAATATTTGTTGATGAATATTTTAAAGATTCATAATATTCAATAAGATTTTAACTTAAATGTAGTTAAAATTTCTACTTTACATATTAGTAATATTTAAATCGTTGTGATGACGTCTTTGAAACTTCCTTCTAATTGTTTAACTTAGATTGAAATACGATCCTCACAACTTTGTCAATCACTCAAATGGACTGCACGCATTGTAATCTGAACGTAATAATCTTTAAAAATTTTCTTGCATTATCATACTGTATTTTCAGAGATCTTGAGAATATTTGTCATGAATACTGACTCCCGGAGAGTACAACAATCATTTCAAAGGCATTCAACTTCTCTCCTGACTTCTATTGGTATTTGATTGGTATTGATAATGTACTACATTGTTTTCATTTTTCTTTAAATAGTAATGAGTTGAAAGATATTTGTCAACCGCTATTATTCTAATCGAGTTTATGATAAGACGTCAGCTATTAATTCCAGAGTATACACTAATTTCAAAGAGATAAGGGAAGACCAGTTGAGATGACAGAATAGGTACCTTGAAAATAAATTGCAATATACTTGGTTATTCATTATTTTAAAAATCTTAATCAATTATGGTCTTAAAAAATAGCTGTGAGCGAACACAAATAGTATCTAAATATAGTCTTGAAGTCGGATTACTAGTATTTAGATTTTATAAGAACTGTGAGATTGACTTGTTAGCCAGGATTGAACAATTTCAATTTTATTATCTCATCTGCATTCCGGAATCTTTCTTCACAATTTAATTGGACATCAAGTGTGATTTTCGGAATAACTGAAAATTTTGACATTTTATCAAGCATCAACTTAGCCATTCAGGATTGCATTATGTTGAGTTATTACGATATCACTACGATGTTCACGTCGTGCACATGGATGTCTTGCTCCTACAGTGCTTAATAGGAAATGGTTTCTCGTCTCGTCTTGGAAGTTTGCGTGGATGCTGGTCCACTTTGTTTAGGCAAATAGCCTCTCTCTCCCTCCATTCCTCCCTCATTAGTTCACCTGGGGTGTCATTTTCTCAGCCTACGATTTTACGCAGACTGAGGCTCTGCTTATCCAGTCTCTTATTTACGTCGGCCCTGTAACAAGGCTTAGTATGCAGTTGGATATTGGTTCGATGTAATTGTGCTAGGGGATCGAAGCAAGGTCGCCAGTGGCTACGCATCTGGTACCATTTTACAGTCAACCCTCATCCCGGTTTCTTTCTCTCAGATGTCCATCATTCCGATCAATATGTGGCGTTTATTACCCTGGATATCTGAACGGTGACGTAGATAATGCTCTCATCGGTCCATGAAATATTCACCTATAAAGTTGACAAATCTGTTATTTTCTCTGTCTAAATCGATGCGAGTTCAGCTCATGGAGGGTGAAGATGATTTTTAAATGTTAAGAATTGCGCACGCAGAGCTTCATGTATTAAATGAGTAAAACTTGCTAAACAGAAACGATTCCCATGCCCCAATATGTGACAAAGCATTCATTACTAACCGCAGCCTTCTTGGTTCGCGGCCATCACCCTGCTGTGGAACACGTCATCGCCAAACGTGTGATCGCATGTGCGCCCAACCAATGGCACAGTTAACAGGGCACTTTTCTTGTAAATTTCATTAACAAGTAGGCCGACGGAAGTTTGCGATGAGAAAATGAGAGATACTTGGTCCTCTCTAGAAACGATTTCGCCTCTTTCCTTCATAGAAATAAAACCGTTCACTTGGGAGTAGTTTGGAGAGTCGTTCACACTTGGCTGTTAGAAATGTAAAAGGAAAGAAATAGCTTAATGTACTCGAGCATATATTATCGAAAATCACTGAGGAGAGGAAGAGGACTTGCTTGTGGGCTCAAGTGCAGATGGGTGTAACGCGTTTTGGTGAGCAATCGAGTGTTAAACGGAGGACGAGTCATTGTAGTGATTCCATAACTGGGAATAAAGGCAGCGAGTAGTCTACCACAG